ATATATATACACACACATTATATAGAGAGGTAGATATATAATTGTTTGTTAATATATGTATGTAGAAAAACAAGGGATTCCATGTTATGATATAAATATGTGTTTTTACATTATAATCTTCTTGTAACTAATCTTATAGAAATTTCAGAACAGCATAATCGTGATATAGGCTAGTCATATCACTAATTCCAATCTTTATGTGATATACATTAACTCAATTCGATTTGTAAAAAAAAGCAGTTTTCATATAATTGAAGCAAACGTGATTTTCATTGTGGCAATGAAGACGAACCACTCACTATTTAATCAAACTACTTATTGAAGTATCAAGACGAACCACTCAATATTTAATCAAACTACTTATTGAAGTATCAAGACAAACCACTCAATATTTAATCAAACTACTTATTGAAGTATCAAGACAAACCACTCAATATTTAATCAAACTACTTATTGAAGTATCAAGACAAACCACTCAATATTTAATCAAACTACTTATTGAAGTATCAAGACAAACCACTCAATATTTAATCAAACTACTTATTGAAGTATCAAGACAAACCACTCAATATCTAATCAAACTACTTATTGAAGTATCAAGATAAACCACTCAATATTTAATCAAACTACTTATTGAAGTATTAAGATAAACCACTCAATATTTAATCAAACTAATTATTGAAGTATTAAGATAAACCACTCAATATTTAATCAAATTATTTATTAAAGTATTAAGATAAACCACTCAATATTTAATCAAATTATTTATTAAAGTATTAAGACAAATCACTTACTATTTAATTAAACTAGTTATTGAAGTTTCGAAGATGTAATGATAAATAAAGTAATGTTGCCTATCTTTTCAGGCCTGCAAAACGTTTTGATGGGGAATTTTGCAGGATGGTCTGCGCCACTAGCTTCCGTTTTGTGGATCACTTTCAATCGCCGACTTTTTAACCTCTTTATCGGAAAACTTCACCCCTAAAGCAGAGACCAACAAGATAGCTATTAGTCTAATATTTATTTCATTCATTAAAAGCACACCTTTAATCCTTAAATTGCAGATTGGTTTTTATATCGTTCACTAAACATTGCATCATATTGAAACATTTTAGTTGCCTGTTACAACATTTAGTGCAAGCAACTAACAAAAAATTGGGTAAAATCACTCATTTATAAAGTACATAGAGGATTGGTAGTGGTTAGTAGGATTAACTAGAATATTGATGGTAAATTTGTTACTCATATGTTATTAGAAACCCTGTTACAAATAAAGTTCTCGACATCCACTGGAATTGGTACATGCATAGTTTTCAGAAGTCGATGGAGTCCATCGGCAATTTTAGGGTAAACAATTTATATATTTTTGCTCTTTCCTAACTTGAAAGCGACGTGCCTAAATGGAAAAGCTCTCTAAACACTATTATTTTTCTGAATTTGAAGCGCATACAGTGCTTGTACTATTAGCCCTGATGAAGCCGCAATGGCAAAGCGTTGTCTGAAATAAACAAGTTTTTTTAGTGTTATCTGGAGAATAAATGTCGTTTTTTCTTCTCCTAACTTTATTGTCAGAATCTCCAAACGATTATTTACTGCGAATAACATCCAACACCTTCTTCAACAGATTTCCATCCGTTGAAAAAAATAGGAGTTCTTATTAATCTCATATTAAAAAGATCAACCTCAAATTGCATCTCTACTAAACTCTTTAAGATATAATAAAAAGGTTTGTTTTTACGTAACACTTCTTCAGACATCTTAGTGAAATTTAGAAATCCAGTATAATTCTAAGCACAGTTTGAATGTATGCCGTTTACTTGCTCCCTTTCATGTTGGCTTTCAATTCAAAAATCTGAACAAATAACCTAGTTTCTAAAGTAAGTCTGAATAATAACTTCTAATAACATCCCAAATATTGAGGCCCGGTATGGCCAGGTGGTTAGAGCGCGCAACTCGGGTTCGAATCCCCGTCCCGCCAAACATGCTCGACCTTTCATCCGTGGGGGGGTTATAATGTGACGGTCAATCCCACTATTCGTTGGTAAAAGGGTAGCCCAAGTGTTGGCGGTGGGTGGTGATGACTAGTTGCCTTCCCTTTAGTATTTCACTGCTAAATTAGGTAAGGCTAGCGCAGATAGCCCTCGTGTAGCTTTGCACGAAATTCAAAAACAAACAAACAAACCAAATATTGAAGATTAATCGCCATTTACAAGAGTTATGTTCCAGGTACCCTGGTGCCTTTGAAATTATTTACTCCATCAATGATTGGCTCACTCTGATGAACTAACTAGTCAATGTTGTCCAACACTGTAGTTTTCGTTGTATAAAGTTTCTGCGAAGGACGATGAGGTTAATTTTAGACCACACATTTTGATAAACGTCCCACAGATTAACCAGACCAAAGGCACAAAAGACAGTAAAGGTAAACTGTATAGGGAGTTTGATATATATATATATATTTCATCGATTGAGATTGTTGTGGTTCCATTTTCTTCGGGCACCTTTTTACATGAAAACAATCGGTTGTTTCGAGATATGGCTGCAAACTAGAGAATTTATGGCTTGTGAGCCATCGTCAATTCCAAATTCTTGTTCACTGCATTAGAAAATACGCTGAGCTTCATTGCAATGACTTTTTAAATAGCTAAATCACTTTTGTAACCATAACCTTTGTTTGCAGAAAAGAACGTTGCTCCAAACTGGCTTGGGACATGGTTTCGGAGCCTGTTGCTGACCTAAACGATATACTGAATCAGTTTCTTCACTTCCATAGAGAACATAACATGTCATTTCATGTGCATCCTTTAATAATCGCATTACTTGTACTTAGAAAAGCTTTGAGCTTGGTCTTTAACCACAAGCTACTTTGGCAGCACTGCACTAACGAATGGTTAGAAATTTACTGCGTAACAATAATATATAGGTGCTAATCATGTCACTTTTGATACCATGGCATCTGGGGCGACTCACAATTGTATTAATAGCACATATTGCTCAAATAAAACACAATTAAACCTTTGTATGCCTTACTTAATTCTATATGCGCTCCTTTTTTTTAAAAAAGATTCTTACAACCTATCTTATAGAAGTCACTTTTAGGCTATTCTTGTCACTAACATAGATGTCTCTTTCACACTATTCTATCTTTCGATATAATACTTTTCTAGACTATTATATAATTTTCGAGAGAAGACCTGTTTATCAGTTGATAGAATACATGTTTTTTGTGTGATTTTGATAGAAGACGTTTCTAAGCTATTTTATCATTATGATAGAATAATATTCTATCATTTTAATAGAAGAATTTTCTAGAGTATTCCATCATTTTATTTTCTAGAGTAGTCTATCATCTTAATAGAAGTATTTTCTAGAATATTCTATCATTTTATTTTCTAGAGTAGTCTATCATCTTAATAGAAGTATTTTCTAGAGTATTCTATCATTTCATTAGAAGACTTGAATGCTATTCTATCATTTTGATAGGAATATCTTCTATATTTCCTCACTCTGATAGACGATTATTCACAATATTATATTATTTAGATAGAAAAGTATTCTGGATTATTCTGTTTTTTGTCAAAATACTATTCCACATTATTCAAAAATTTCTACACAAAATTTTATTGAAATGTTAGAAGTTTTGGCTAGCAGCAAGCTTCGTGACTTATAGCACTAAAATTAGGTGTTCCTGTGTTAAGCAGGCACAGCGCAATTAGCCCACTGGGCAGCTTTGAGATTAAACAAAAATAAGAGGAAATCATTAAGTTGCAGCGCCCTCTTTCTCATCACAAGGAGTTTATAAATTCTTTCATCTTCTTATCAGAACGTTTTAAACTGTTTTATTCGAGAATTCGACTAAACTGGTTCTTACCATTGTTTTGAAAACAAATATTGAATACATAGACAAGTTTTTCATGAAAATTCGATGAATTTACACTTCATATTTGCTTGCATCCAAGCATAGATTACAAAACCAAACTTGGAAAGTGGATTTGTCACACCACGAATAGTAAACGTTTTTAACTCTCTCATATTTGTTTCTGTGACCCAAAGTTTCACCCCCTCCCCAGTAGCACAGGGGTATGTTTGCGGACTTACAACACTAGAAACCGGGTTTCGATACCCCTGGTGGGCAGAGCACACATATTCCATTGTGTAGCTTTGTGCTTAATTCCAAATAAACAAACAACCAGACTCAACGTTTCAGTTACGTACAATACCACACGTCACATGCTAAACTGTATATGACCCGTATAAAGAACTGCCAAACAAGAAAATTATTAATCATTTTATCTTTTGGTGACTTGAGAAACTATGATCTCATAAAAAAAGTGTACTTCCGAAATGGTGTTAGGATATCTCATGCTTATCTTTTTCCTTTTTTATTGATAGCTTGCAAAATCAACATATAACGGTCAAGTGAGCTTTAAAACGACATCAACATGAAAGATCCAAACAACATGTAAAGTCATCCCAT